ATATGAAAGAAATAGGATCTGAGCCTTGTCTAAGGAGAGATATATGAGTTTTAACCTCATCAACTATGACCAGGTTCAGTTTCTTCATCTTCATCTTCATCTTCATCCATAAAATGAGCTGGAGAAGGAAATGGCAAACCACTCCAGTATGTTTGCCAATAAAACCCCAAAATGGGGTTACAGAGTTGGACTGAAAAATTATTGAACAACAACACCACCTTCAGGTAACACTCCATATATGTAAAAGGGTTGGGTCAGATGAACTCTAAGGTCCATTCTATTTTTAACTCTCTGATTTAATAGCCTAGATTCCACAGACTATTCTGTGGAATACACTAAGCCCAAGTACCACTCTATTTTTTTCCAGACTACAGTTGAGCTACATTGAAGGAACACGTGGAGTTCCTAGTCCCTAAGTCTCACGGAAATGTAACAATTACAACCACGTTCCTTGGCTAATCACCTGCCAGGTGGCTATCTCCAGTTATCCTGATCTATATCTCTCACTTAAATCCAATTAATTCTCAGGTCATAGCATCACCTTCCTGATGTCATGGTCCTCTTTGAGAACAAAGGACAAGCAACAACCTGTGAGTAGTCTGAGCTGCCCCCCTGGGGACCCAATAGGCCAGTTCCAGTTGGGCAACACAGCTCCTTCCTTCTCCCTTTCCTTCCCTGCCCTGCCCTGCCCTTCCTGCACAACTCCAACTGGCTGGCTATGTTGTTCGAATGCCAAATATATGTTTGCCTAAAAGACTATTTTATGGAGAGCTCACACAGAGTAAGCAGTCACGTGGTGGTCAGAAAAAGCAATACAAGGACAGTCTCAAGGTCTCTCTTAAGAACTTTAGAATTGATTGCATAACATGGGAGACATTGTAACGGGACCACCCAGAATGGCATGCCCTCATCAGAGAAGGTGCTGTGCTCTATGAGCAAAGCAGAATTGAAGTAGTTCAAAAGAAATATGAGATGCACAAATTTAGAGAATCCACCTCAAATGTTCACATGGACTATTTGTGCCCGACCTGTGGTAGAGAACTCTGAGCTGATATTGGTCTGATCAGTCACGGCTGCACACACTGTAACTTGACATCCTGGATCTATAATTTCAATTGACACCTTGAAATACTCTTAGAGGTTGTATTTACAACCTATCCATTAAGAAATTCCTTTCTCACGTTGTGGTTAAACACATATGGAGACTACAATTTTTGGTTGACAGAGGTATCATGAGTTGGGATTGCTCTAAGTGTATAAAAGGTCTATTTACTTACTTATTTACTCTGAGTTAAGAATTATTTTCTGACTCCATCATGCATAATTCTTTGGCTTAATGAGAATAAATAAGCACTTTATAGCACATGTATAGCCTGATTCTGTTTATTCCTTGTTCAAACCTTTGGTAAGGTGAAACCCATTCTGTTTGTTCTTGAACAAATTTTTTGATAAAGGGGGATGCCATTCTGTTTGTTCTTTGGATAAACCTTCACTTAAGGGGAAAACTGATTCTGTTTGTTTCTTTGGACCAAACCTTTGGTAAATGGTTGACACCCAATGGAAAGTAGGAGTTGCCAATGTGAGGTCCCAAGCAAACAAATGGCATGGCTCACAGAACCTTCCCTGAGTTGTTTGCTTTCCATTGACATCATGCCAAGAAATTGTCCCCAGGGCAGTGGGAACCTGTTTCAACAGCACTTCTAGGAGCTGGTACTGGATACTCTTAAATGAATCCAGTTCAACCAGGTTCCACCAAGCTGGAATGCAGCTAGAACTACAACTGGATGGAAAGAGAAAAGAGATCTTTCCAAGTCCCAAGAGAATTCAAGTTCTATGGCATGGTAGGTGAATGGAGCACTAGACTTGGAATCAGGAAGACCTGGGTTCAAATATTAACTGAAACACTTGGTTGGCTGTTGTCCTTTGTTCTTGAAGAGGACCAAAATGACATTAATATGTTGGAGTCAAGGTACGGTATATCTGTCTGTGGCTGAGCAGATCAATAGAAGCTCAGAAGGCTCCACCACAGGTCGGACACAAATAGTCCATATGAACATTTGGAGTGGAGATGTCTCTAAATCCGCGTATTTCAGCTTTCTTTTGAATTATTGCAATTCGCTTCACTCATAGAGCACAGTACCTTCTTTGATGTGGCCACACCATGCTGGGGGGTACTTTGCCAGTGTCTCTCACACCATGAAATCAATTCCAAAGTTCCTCAGAGAGACCTTGACAGTGTCCTTGTATCACTTTTTCTGACCTCCACATGAGCACATGCCTTGCATGAGTTCTCTGTAAAACAGTCTTCTAGGCAAACCTACATTTGGCATTTGAACAATGTAGCCAGCTAGCTGTATGACTCTGGGCAAGTCACTTCACCTCTGTCTACCTCAGTTTCTTCATTTCTAAAATGGGGACAATAATAGTACCTCCCTCACAGGATTAGCGTGATGATCAGATGAGATAAGAGTTGCAAAGCGCATAGTATTGTGGTTGGCACATAGTAGGCACAATATAAATTTTAGCTATTATTATAATTTAATAAAAATCCATCCAAACAGGATACAAAACACAGAGCATTCTTCACAGATAAGCATTATTGTTCTTTCTACTTTCCTGGCAAACTACAAGAGTCTTGTAATGATGATGTTGCTTAAGTCTGAAGAGAGTGAAGCTTGATTCGGATGACATATTCAAGGGTGAAGGACTTGAAGTCTAAAGACCTGAGATGGGGCCCCTGTACAACCTCTTCTTAGCTGTGTGACTTTGGGTGAAGCATACGTTCTGGGCCCTTGAGTCTTTTTTGGTGCAATGAGTGGATTGGAGCAGACATTCTTTTTTAAGCAATTGAATTAAGTGACTTGCCCAGGGTCACACAACTAATAAGTGTTGGAGGCTGGATTTGAACTCAGGTCCTCTGACTCCAGGGCCAGTTCTCCATCTACTGCGCCACCTAGCTGCCCCTTAGGAGATTCTTTAAGCTCTTATCCAGCTTGGATACTCTCTGGTGCTCACAATAACTCTGGGAGGTTGGTGGTATCATTTTTATTATTCCCACTGAGTTCATAAGGAAAAAGACATTCCAACATGACATAGCTGGTGGGTGACAAGTGAAGTATTTCCAAAAGGCACACCAGGCACCAGGCACTTAAGCACTGGGGATGCAAAGAGAGGTAAAAAACTCCTCATGGAGCTCACAATCTAATGAAGGGAGACAAGCTGCAAACACCTATGGATAAACAACATACACACGAAGCAAACAGGGGGATGATCAATAGTGAGAAGGCACCAGCTTTAAGGGGCACTTACCAAAGGCTTCTGGCAAAAGGTGAGATTTTAGCTGAGCCTTGAAGAAAGCCAGGAAGGGCAGATGAGGAGGGAGAGCATTTCAGGCATGGGGGCAGCCAGAGAAAGTGCCCAGAGCCCAGAGATGGAGGAGGCCAGCGGTGCCTGACCAAAGAGTATGTGAGAGGCAGTAAAAGGCAGGAAAAGGTGGGGAGGGGCCAAATTCTGAAGGTCGTTAAAAGCCAGACACAGGGTTTAATATTTAATCCTAGAAGTAAAGGGAATCATTAAAGTTTATCACATAAGAGGTGACATGGTCAGATTTGAGTGAAGGATGAGCTGGAATGGAAAGAAAACTGAGACAAGAGAAACTAAACTGCAGGCTATTGTAAGGTCCAGACGTGAGGAGACCTGGTCACCTAGCTACCCTTACACTCTATATCATCTGTATCCTGATTTAATTATCTGAACCCTATATCACCTATGCCTCATTTTCTTAATCAGAAACTTCTTCGTGACAAAAAGGTTTTAACAGCTAAATACTTGATTTTTCTTAATGAAGACAATGTTTTACTGCCATATATCCTTGTATCCCAGGGACATGCTACAGCCAACTTGTACCAGAGCTGGTTTTTAAATTATCAGCATGGGCATTTACACCTCAGAATTGGCATCCACTACAAATTAGGGTTTGGGTCATTGTTTTCTTGATTTCTAAACTTAAGAAAGTGATGGAGATAATGTGAATAGTATAACTTAAAAGTATGTCTTGTGGGTTTCTCGGGGAGCTGATTGTTAAACAATGATCAGCACATACCTGCCATCCTGTTAATAAAATATTTTGTTATTGTGAAATATTTTGTTAGTATAATCAGTCAGAGTACAGGAAGCATTTCCTTTGATTTTGCTATATTTTTTTCTGTATAAAAGAAATCTTGCAGAAGAACCACATGGAATTTGGTCTCAGAGATGCTATTGTCCCTGTGCTGCTCCTTTGCAAGTAAAGAATCACTTCACTTGCAGCATTGTCATGAAGTTTTGTTTTTAAGACCCTCCATGTACCACATTATGTCCTCGCAGAAATGTTGTCTGGAAAATGCTAGGTAACTGATAAAGTAGGACAGAGACCTCCAAGAGCTCAGTGTACTAAGAAGAGCCTTAGATTTGGAGTCAGAGGACCTGGCTGCTTAGTGTCTGCGTCATCTTGGACAAGTCCTTTCCCTTCTCTGGGCCTTGGTGTTCATTCTTGTTGAATGATTGCTAATATCCTGCCCAGCTCTAAATTAATCATTCAATGAATCAATATTATTAATTCTTTCCCTAACGAGTACCCTAGAGATAAAATGATAGAAAATGAAACCATCTCCATTATAATTGAATGAAATGAACTAGGAATTTTTTCCTCTAGAGAAAGGGTGCACTGGATGGTCTCATCAGATTCCCACTGACTCAGAATTGGAAGATCCCTTTCAAATAAGATGACATTTGTGATACTGTTTCATAGCACAGTGGCTGGCACAGAATAAGCATTCGATTAATGCTTTTTTTTCCTTCTAACTATCATTTAAATTCCTCTCTCATAGCAGTAATGAGTGAGAGTCAAAGTGTTTCACTCAAAACTGCAATATCCTTTAGGTGAGGCCAAGGAACTACTCAAAAGAAGTGATTGGGTGTCATTGGTCTGCAACTGTTGCAAAAACGGTTGTGCTTAGAGATCACAACTCCACCCGGGCATTTTCTGGCTGTGATTGCTTCATCTTCTCAGGCAAGGTCTTGGTCCAGAATTTCCACTTATCCTTCCTCAGGCTCTTTCCCACAGACAGCTGCAAATTCAGCTGCAGGTATTCTTCCTTCTGGTCATAGACTGGCCAGTGAATAAGGTCTGCACCATTTGGGTCCCTGGGAGGAAAAATAAACATTTAGAACTGAAAGGGGCCACTTCATTGGCAAGTGTAGCAAGCCACCATCAGCTCAGCCTGGAGCCAAGGAAGGGGCTCCAAGGTCAGGGTCAGCTGACAGTGGTTACACCCATGGAAAGCTTGTTCACCCATCCTTAAGCAGTTTGGTCTTCATCTTTCATGTTGCACCTTTCTCATGCACCTGAGGTGGAAGGTCCAAAGAGTGAAAGGACTCATATAGGGAATAAGTAACCAAGTCTGGATTTGAACTCATATCATTGAACTCCATTTCATTGGAGTAGCTAGTTGGTATAGTGGATAAAACTGGGCCTGGAGTCAGGAAGACCTGAGTTCAAATACAGCCTCAGGTATTTACTAGCTGTGTGATCCTGGGCAAATCATTTAACCCTGTTTGCTTCTGTTTCCTCATCTGCAGAAGAATGAGGAAAGGAGAAGGAAATGGCAAAATGGAGTGGTTGGCCAGTGGACACCATTCCAGTATCTCTGCCAAGAAAACTCCAGATGGGGTCACCAAGAATCAAACACAATAACACTGGACTCCACATCCAAGGCTCGTGCCACTGCCACCTGTCCTAATGGTTCCCAAGGGGGAAGAGAAGTCACTAACACTCGAGGGCAGTGGTGTGGACCAGGAGAGGTGCTGATCTTTCTTGTATTCCTTTCAAGATGCCCATGTGTAGGGTGGGTGTGCCTGAGTAATGCCTCCCCCAACCCTGGCCATGAACTTGGGGAAGGGCTATGCTTGTTCACCAGACCTTACCTCTGGGTTGAATTAACTTTTTTCTCCTGAGCAGATTTCAATCAGGGAACTTCTGTTAAAGTGGGAAACCTTTATGGGCCTAGGAACAGGCACTACCCCACAGGGAAACCATGGGGAAAGCAAGGGGCCACTTTCTCACCCATGACGGGCAAAGTTTGCCCAGTAGCTCATTATCCTGTGGCTCAGGAGTTTTTCCTCTTCTGTTGCCTCGCCTAAATCTAGGAACAGAAAAAGAAAGATCTTGGTTAAGGCCAAAATGCAGACCCAAAGGCCTCCTTTCCTCCAGTCCCCAGTCCCACCCACCCAGTCAGTTCTGCTCTGGCCCCTGAACTGATCTTCCTTGCACAGTTTCCATCATGTCACTCCCCTTCTAGAAGACATCCCAGGGCTTCTGTTGGCCTCATCTGTTTGACTCCATAACTGAGTCTCTACCAAAAACAAAGTGGTGCAGCTGGACTGGAAGTCAGGAAGACTTGAGTTCTAATCCAGGCTCAGATGTTGACTAGAAGAGTGACCCTGGGCAAGTCACTTAACCTCTGTCTGCCTTTGTTTCTTTGTTCGAAACATGGGGATAATAATAACACACCTGTGCCCCAGGATTGTTGGGAGAGTAGAGAAAAAAAGAGAGATAATATTTATGGAGTGCTTTATAAATCTTGTAAAATTGTCACATAAATGCTACCTATCATTATTAAACTATATTTATATTATTATATATTTATTTTAATAATACATAGTGTAAAAAGAAAGTATTATATATAAATTGCATGTTGTGTTATATTATTATACAATAACATATTTTATCCTATGTAATTATAATAATGACATGATAATTATAAATGTAATTTATAATAATTATAATTATCATTTTAAGTTACAACAGCATAGCACAAGCTCTAGTAACTGCAAAGCCTTTGCATATGACCCCTGCCCCAGACAATGCTGCCATTAAGGACCCCTGCCTGGGGCAGTGCAGACAGGCTCAGCAGCTGCAGCTAGCTCATAAGATGATGAATTCATTGGCCATGCAAGTCATGAAACAGATGTATGGATAAACTGGCCTTCCAGTTCTCCCAGGACAGGAGCAAGAAAGTGAAAATAGGGAGAGAAGACTTCCAAAAACACAGATTTGGGACCATCTACCACCATTAACTCCAAAGATTGTTAAGTGCGAGACTTTTGTCCAACAATTGACAAATCAAAGGGAGAGATGGAAGGAAGGGAGGGAAGAAGGAAGAGAGAGAGAGACAGAGCAAAGAATGGAGGAAGGGAGGGAGGGACGGCTTCCAGCACATTGGACAGATCCTCAGGGCAGGATTTATGGAAGCACAAGGACAAGAATCACACAGGATGAGATGGTGTGACAGGTTAGGGTCTACCCAGAGGAGAGGATGAGGGTATTGGGGAGGTCACTGGTCCATTGATATATGGAAATGTGTTTTTTTGTGTCCGTGCCTCATCTTCCCTTCTGGATAGTAAACTCCAAGAAGTCAGACACTGTGTCTTATTTATCTTTGTGTCTTCCTCAGAGTTGAACAGAGTCTCTGCATGCTGGATGTGCTGAATTGGACTGAACAGCTGATTCCACCTCCTGATTCAGTTCACCTGAACAGGCAGACTGACTTAGGGGACTCCTATGACTTCCTTAGTCTCTGATCATTCAATCAACCAGGGAACTATTAACTGCCACCTCTATCCCTGGCACTGTGCCAAGGGTTGGAGATACAAATGCAAAGAATAAAAAATAAAAACTAAACCTCTTCTCAGGCAGCCAGGCCCCTGTTCAGTGTCTCTTAAGGGAACCTGGAAGGGCAGATAGAGCACTTGGTTTGGGCTCAGACCTGCTAATTCTGTGATATTAGATAAGTCTCTTCCTCTCTCTCTGAACCTCAGTTTCCTCTTCTGTACAACAGATGCAATCCCTCCTTTCCCCCCTCCCCGACCCTCACAGGGTATTAGGGAGGATCAAACAGCAGCTCAGTGAAAGGTGGACTGGGTGCTAAACATAGAATCAAGAAATCACAAGTTCAGATCCTGACTCAGACTCTTAACTAGCTCTGTGACTCTTGGCTAGGCAAGAGTCACCTTCCTTAGCCTCAGTTTTTCCATCTATAAAATGGGGATAGCACCAGCACCTACTACACAGGGCTGTTTTGAGGCTATCAAATGAGATTGGCATATACAAACCTCTTCATAAGCCTTCAAGCAGTATATAAATACTAGCTAATTTTACCTATTGTTATTATCATTATGAAATGAGCTGATGTATGGGAAGGTGCTTTGGGGAAAGGTAAGACATTATTATTTGTTTGATGTCAGAGAGAGCAAGGTAGATGATGGAGAAGGCAGGCTACAGACCCAGGGATTCTGCACCCTCTGCCTCCAACCCTGGTTCACAGCTTCCCTCTCCATCCCATCGCCATTGCTTACAAGGCACTCCAAAGACAAAATGTATTTCATCACCATGGTCTGCTTTCACAAAATCTGGCTTGACATCCTTAAATATGCTTGGTTGGTGCTGAAATTCATAAAAGTAGACTGGAGAGCTGGGAGCTAGAGAAAAATAAGAAATGTCCAAAGTTTTTGACACAGTCAACACAGGGCAGGGCAACATGCCAAGGGCCCTTGGCCTGATTCCCACCTTTGGGGTGGGGGGAGATAGTTGCTGGCCATTAACAGGTAAACTTCTAGAGGGCAACCCCTTAACAAATACTATCTGATTTGGGATGGAAAATGCTATCCACATCCAGAGAAAGAACTATAGAATCTGAATGCAGATCGAAGCATACTATTTGTTCTCTCTCTCTCTCTCTGTGTCACTCTCTTTTTTGTTTCTTCTTTCTTGTGGTTTTTTCCTTCTACTGTAATTCTTCTTTACAACATGACTAATGTGGAGATATGTTTAACATGATTGTACATGTATAGCTTATATCAGATGGCACATCATCCTGGGGAGGGGGTAGTGGTGGGAGGATGAGAAAATTTAGAACTCAGAATCTTTATAGAAGTGAATGCTGAAAACTAAAAAGAAATTAAAAATGAAACCAAATACTGTCTGAGACTGATGCTGTAAGGCAGGGCAAGTGCTGGGGTCTGGTGTAACAGCCCTGCTGTTGACCAACTTCAGGACCTTAGGGGAATCCTTTTACTTTTCTGAGGCTGATTTTTCAACTGTAAAGTGGGGATAATAATCTCTGGACTGTCTGCCCTACGGGATGGTGAGGGGAAGGGAATAAGCATTTGTTGTTCAGTTGTTTTTCAATCATATTCAACTCTGTATTATCTCATTTGGGGTTTTCTTGGCAAAGGTGCTGGAGCAGTGGTTTGCCATTTCCTTCTCCAGCTCATTTTATGGATGAGGAAACTGAGGCAAAGAGGGTGAAGTGACTTGCCCAAGGTCACACAGCTAGTAAGTGTCTGAGTCCAGATTTGAACTCAGGAAGCCTGACTCCAGGCCCAGCACTCCCATTGTGCCACCTAGCTGCCCTGTGAATATGCATTTACACAGTCCCTACTTTGTTACAGACACTGTACTACGTGCTTTACAAATATTATCTCATTGGAGCCTATCAACAGCTCTGTGACGGAGATGCTATTATTATTCCCATTTCATAGTTGAGGAAACAGAGACAAACAGAGGATAAATGAGTTGCTCAGGATCACACAGCTAAAAGGTGTCTTTGTCTGGATTTGAACTCATGTCCTCCTGACTTTGGGTCCATGCATTAAGTTGTTATGAGGCTCAGGGGGATAATGAATATAAAATGTTTGATAACAACAAAACCCTCTAGCAAGGGCGCTTGAATTGATTTTTAGTTGAGCACTTTGATAACTCTTTTTCAATCTAATTGGTTTTCTATTCTATGTATTTTATTTTATACATTGAAAAACATTACTCTTGAAGGGTCTGTAACTTTCCTTGGACTGCCAAAAGGGTCCATGATGCATAGCCATGAAAAAGTTAAGAGCATCTGCTTAAAGAAATGTGGCTTACCATTATTTATTATTATTCTTTGTTGTTGTAGAGAATACTCACTGAGTTCACCCTGGCTGGGGTTAGTTGGGGGTGGGAGGGAATAAATAGGAAGGTGAACAAGGGGGTTAACCACTCTGGAGGTTACAATAGCAAAGCCAGAATCAGGAGCTTATGCATGCGTATGTGGGTGACATAGACACATTGCCCCAGAGATGAGATATCCTTACACTGATTCTGAAAAGGGTCAATGCCATACTCACTGTGTTGATATTTGGCCACTTTGAGGGCAGGAATAACAAACATCAAATCCCCCATCATATCCTGGAATTGAGCTCGAAATTCTCCTGGGTCCTCAGTGTCTCTTAAATATTCTTTCATCATCAAATGCATAATTTCAGGAGGAAAACCCTGTAGGAGATCCAGGAGGAAACAGAAACAGAAAAATTAACATACCCGGCAGTGGATTGTTTGGGGATGTTTGTTGGTGGATTGTACAGAATAAGTAAGGGAGCTAGGTGATGCAGTGGATAAAGCACTGGATCTAGAGTCAGAAAGACTTGCATTCAAATCTGACCTTTGATATGTATTAGCTATGTGGCCCTGGGCAAGTCACTTAACCTTGATTGCCTCAGTTCCTCATTTATAAAATGAGCTGGAGAAGGAAATGGCAAACTACTCCAGTATCTTTGCCAAGAAAACCCCTAATGGGGTTACAAACAGTCAGATCTGACTCATCAACTAAACAACCCCAAGGAATAAGCACACATAAGTGTGCCTGCTCTTCATAGGTCCTGAGTCTCATTAGATCCCTTTACCACCTCCCCACCAGGGCCTACTCTTTCAGGGTTAAATTCCTGAAGAAGATACGAGACAAGGGATATGGGGCTCAATGAAAGGATAGAGCTACATGGGGTGTCCAATGTCGCTTCCCACTCTGTGAGTATGAAAGCTGAAAGGAGGAAGTCAGAAGGTGGAACGACTTTCATTGGCTCTCTCTTAGACTATTTCTTTTCTTTCTTTTGATAACTAATTCATTTATTTTTAGTTTTCAAACTTCACTTCCATAATATTTTGAGTTTTAAATTTTCTCTCCCTCCTCCTCTTCCCTCCCCAAGACAGTGTGCATCCTGATATAGGCTCTACTTACTCATTCATATTAAGCATATTTTCACATTAGTCATGATGTGAAGAAGAATTAGAGCTAATGGGAGGAACCACAAAATAGAAGAAACAAAAGAAAACAACAAGAGAAGAGGAGACCAAGTAGGATGCTTTGCTCTGCATTCAGACTCCATGGTTCTTTCTCTGGATGTGGATAGCATTTTCCATCGTCAATCTTTTGGAGCTGTCTTAGATGCAAGGGCATTGCTGAGAAGAGTCAAGTCTATTAAAGTCAGTCACTGAACAGTGTGGTTGTTACTGTATACAATGGTTCTTCTCATTTCAGTCAGCATCAGTTCACATAAGTCTTTTCAGGCTTTCTGAAGTCCCCCTGCTCATCATTTCTTATAGCGCAATAGTCTCCTAGACTATTTCAATGGCTTCCTAATTGGTCCCTGTGCCTCAGATCTCTCCCCACTCCAATCTATCCTCCACTCATCTTCCAAAATGATTTTCCAAGCACAGATATGACCATTTTACTTCCCTGCTCCAACTAAATAAATTCTAGTGGATGCCCATTACCTCTAGGATCAAATATAAACTCTTTTGTTTGGTTTTTGGAGCTTTTAACAACTTGGCCCCATCCAGTCTTATACATGATTAGCCTCCTCACACTCTGTGGTCCAGGTATGCCAACCTTCTGGTTCCTCACACTTCCCATTCCATCTCTCACCTCCATGCCTTTGCTTTGGCAAGACTCAGCTCAAACAGCACCTTCTATAGAACATCTTTCTTGGTTCCTCCCTCCTCAATTGTTCGTGTCTTACCCCTACCCCAAGATTTGCTTTGTATAGATTTTCCATATGTCTCTCAATATAAGTTTCTGGAGGTCAGGGACTCTTTCACTTTGTCCTTGTGCCTAGCCCAGTGCCTGCTACATAGTAGTTGCTTATTAAAAAAAAGCTTGATTAACTGGTATCTCACCAAAAATGGATTTTTCAATATTAATTTGCTTGGTCCTACATCCATTTTCCTGTTTAATTCATCAATGTTTGATCCCTGTGTAGAGAAAAATGACACACTGTGAATGGTCTGTAGAACTTTACAAATTTATGCATTTTTAAAACAAATCTAATTCAAGAAAGTCATTTTACCCTTTAAGAAGGAACTAGTACCATAGATTTGTTTAGGAATTACTCAATAATACCCAACACTGAATAATTCTCAAGACATTTTGCAAAATGGCCAGCTAAATGGTGGGTAATGCCCAGTACATAATAAACAGTGGTCATGGTTTTTTTATAATGACCAGAGGCCTTAGACAATGACCAATGCTTACTATAATACATTATGCTAGAAATGATGCAGGTAGAATTCTGTTTTTCTGACTAGTGTAAATAGACCAACTTTACACGCATGTGCTTAAGGAGGCAGCTGACAAACAGTGGTTAATATCATGTCATATTTAAAATCAATATTGACCCAATGGTTTTTAGATATTCTGACCTGAAGTCCATAGGAAAGAGACCTGGTCTCCCATCTGGAGGCCCAGGTTCTAGTCCCATCTGTGTGACTGGGGTTAAATCATGTCCTTTCTAGGAGCCTCAGTTCTCTAATTTACAAAATGGGGATAAAAATCTTAGTGTGATGAATATGACAGGGTACTATGAAAGCAGTTTTGTGTAAACTTTAAAGTGCTATTATTCACTTTTCATTTAAAGTGCTACCATTTATTATTCATTTAAAATGCTATTATTCACTGTTCTTTTAAAATAAAGAGATATGAGGCAGCTAGGTGACATATTGGATAGAGCACAGGACCAGGAGTCAGGAGGACCTCAGACACTTACTAGATGTTTTACCCTGGGCAAGTAACTTAACCTTGATTGACTCTAAATATTTAAAAATTAAAAAAAACCCCCAGAAATAAAATAAAAAGACTTGTAGAGGATATTTTAACCAAAGTGGAACTAACCCAGCATGGGCTTCTCTTTTATACTTCTGCACTGATTTGCACATAAAATGAGTCATTCATAGAAAAAATAACCAAAGGTTGAATCACTTCTGATTCTTCCAGGAAGCCTGTTCTGGGTAATTTTTCTGATTTTAGGAAAGGCAAATTTACAGATGACCCAAAGTCAGGAAGGCCAGCTAACATACTGGATCATGGAGTCAGGATCCAAAAAAGGACTGCACAGGCTAGAATATTAGACTGACCACGGTCACAAGGATCAAATTTAATGGGGACAAAGTCTTACACTTGGAATCTTTTTAGTTGACCTTACAATCTCAAGATGATGGAGGCATGGTTATGTGGAGATTTATTTGAAAAAGCTCCAGGAATTTTGTTGAACCACAGGCCCGCAAGGAGACAAGAGGGTAATATGACAACCTAAAGAGCAATGTGACGTTGACTATGTTGAGAGGCACAGCTTCCAAGAATAAGGAGGTGCTCTGCCCCTGGGGAGGATACAGGTATGCCTTCTATATCATAACTGTTGTCATCATGGTTTTGATATGTTGCAGGTAGGTGAAAGAAATTAAGTAGGAATTTTTTGGGAGTTTTGTGGAAGCCACAGATGAGAAGCAAAGGCCAACAGATGACACAGAAAAAAGTTTAGTAAATCAGAAATACATAAAATATATGCATCATGTTATATAATATCAATACATTATCCTTTCACAACATAATAATTCAGTATTCTTCTCTGATATGAAGGGCAGGGGGGCCAAAAAGTTTTACATGGATTTTCCAAATTGTGGGGGTACACTCCACCCCAACCCTCCTTGGTGTGGAAAGGATAACTATATATCTGGAATCTTTGGTTCAGTTCTGGGCATCACATCTGAGGCAGAAAATAGAGAAGCTGAGAAGGGGGTCATGGTCTTGCCATATAGGGATGGATTGTAGGAACTTGCTTTGCTGGTCAAAGGAAAAATTTAGGGCAGGGACAGACATGATACTTGTCTGTAACTATCTGCTGGATGGTCACCTGGAAGAGGCATTTAATTGGAGTCATTCGCCCTAAGGGCAGAGCTGGGAAAGAAAATTTCCACTTGCTGTCATGGTGCCCTGTCCAAGCCTGAGAACTGCCTAAAAATGGAAGAAGCTGCCTCAGGAGGCAGGAAGTTTTCTCTCCTTGGAGGTCTTCAAGCAGAGGCTGGATGGCCATTTGTCCAGTGAGTTATAGAAGGGATTCTCCTTCAACTCTGGCTTAGACTCCATGGCCACCAAGCTCCTGACCGACTCAGAAAGTCTGTGATTCTTTAGAGCAGCATAAACTGTTGAGATCAGAAAGAAGCTGACACAGAATAGAACATGCTAGAATCTTACTGCAGGAATCATCCAGCCACATTCATGGTTGTTGACACTGATGATGGAAGGGACGTGGTTGAACTCTCCTGCAGCCAGCAACTCTTCAGGATGTTTGGGGAGGAACTGCCCATCAACTACACCAGGAAACATCCCAAAATTCTAAAGAAAGCAGAAAAAATAGAAGAGGTAAGTCTGCCTCCACAATCTTCTTTCAATGTATCACTTCTCATCATTCTCACTGTCACTATCCTATTTCAGACAATTTTTATAACTTACCTGAGCTCTTTTTTTTCTTTTTTTTGGAGGCAATGAGGGTTAAGTGATTCGCCCAGGGTCACATGGCTAATAAGTAATTGAGGCCACATTTGAACTCAGTCCTTACTGACTCCAGGGCCAGTGCTCTATCAATTGTATCAACTAGCTGTCCGCATTTATTTGGATTCTCGCAACATTCTCCAAGTTGACACACACACACACACACACACACACACAGATACACAGACACATAGACACACACACACACACACCCTCACCCCTTTTCTCTCTCAGATCTGCTCATGACACTCTACTGCATTATAAAAAAAGTCCCATGACTCTCCATTACCCAAAGAAAATCTCTTACAGTTCAGTCTGGCATTCAGAGCCATCTCTTCCACCTTTCCAGCCTTATCTCTTACTATGTGATCTGTGCCACGTATATCATGTTTCACCAACAATGGATTCCCAGCTCTCCACTGAAAATCAACAACCTTTTCTTACCTTTCTGCCTTGGCTCCCTTTACTCCGTAGGGCTAGAATGACCTTTCCCCCATTGCTACCTGCTGAAATTCTTCCCTTCCTTCAAGAGCTTGTTAAACTCCCACATCTTCCACAAAGTCTTTGATATGGCAGCCAGAAGGACCCTTAATTTCCTCAGAGTTCCCACTGTATGTGTTTGTTATGTCCCCTATGGACTTAGGTTCTGCTACCTGTGTATGGCATGAAGCCCTCTCCCCTAAAAAGAGTAGTTCCATCATGGACCCATCCCTTTATCCACACTTTGTGTCCCCCAAGGTTGGACACAGAAGCTGCTCCAGAAATGCTTCTGGAATAAACAGAAGGAGAACCATGGCCTCAAAGTCAGTAGATCTGGATTTTATTCCTGGCTCAGCCACTAATGGACTCTGTAATTTTAGGCAAATGACATCTCTCTGGGTTTCAATTTCCTCACCTACAAAATGAGTGCATTGGACTAAATTATTGTCAATGTCTTTTCCCATAGCTTCCAATAAGGGGGCACTGGAATTGGGCTTTGATGGGAATTTAATGGGAAGACTTCAACAGAAAAAGGGGGGCTAAGAGAGACAACAGGGTAGGGGAAGAAGGAAGATTGGATTAAAAACTGAGAGACACCTGGGCTTGAACGTCAGCTCTAATGTTTCTGCACTATGTGATGGTGGAGAAGTGGGGAAGTCACTGCCTCTAGGCTCCATGGAGGTTTATTGTTGTTGTTCAGTTGTGTCTGACTCTTCATGATCCCGTGGACCATAGCACACCAATATTATCCACGGGGTTTTCTTGGCAAAGGTAATGGAGTGGTTCACCATTTCCTTCTCTTGTAAATTAAGGCAAACAGAGGTTAAGTGACTCACCCAAGGTATAGTAGGTGTCTGAGGCTGGATTTGAAGTCAGGTCTTCCTGACTCCAGGCTCCGTTCTGTATTCACTGAGACCTTTTCAGAGGTTTACTCGTCTATATAATGGGAATAATGACTCCCTACATCATGGATTGTTATGAGAAAGGCACTTTATAAACCAGGATGATAATAAGAAGGCAGGACTTTACTGACATAAAATACACCTGAACAAAGGCACAGAGTATAGGGAACATTTAGAAGACTGAGGACAGATGAGTTTGGCTGGGGCATAGAGTGAATGCAGGGAGGTAATATAAGATAAGGCAGGAAAGCCATGGAGGCACCAAACCGTTCAGTATCTGAATACCAGGCTTGGGTCTGACTGAAAGTCAGGAATCCTTTCTTCTCCCATCTCCTTGGCATCTGCTGAGGCCAAAATGAAACTCAACCTCCCAGGTGCTTTGGAAAGGATGTTCATAAGATTGTAGATTTAGAGCTGGAAGGTACTTTAGAAAATCATCTGGCCCAATACCCTAATTTTCCAGATGAGGAAACTGTTGTTGAATCAAGATTAAAAACAAAATAGTTTTCAGAATGAAGCGTATAATGGAGAGTGTAATTAGATGCAGAGGCAGCTACATGGCACATTGGCAGAACGCTGGGCCTGGAGTCAGAAAGACTCATCTTCCTAGGTTCAAATCTGGCCTCAGACACTTAGTAGCTATGTGACCCTGGGCAAGTCATTTAACCCTGTTGGCTGTACTTTCTCAATGAGCTGGGGAAGGAAACGTCAAACCACTCCAGCATCTTTGCCAAGAAAACCCCAAATGTGGTGATCAAGAGTTGGACACGACCGAAAAATGACTGAACAATTAGATGCAAGTAGATCTGATTTAACACTTAATCTGGCTCTAACACTAAGTGAATTCTTTGAGGAAGTAAAGTGATGTGATGAATAAAGATCTCGGTTCTAAAGATCTGGTGTCATGTAACTGTCTTAATATTTTCAAACTGTGTGACATTTGGCAAAGTCACTTAACCCCTCTGGGACTCAGTTTCCTCCTTTGTAGAATAATCAGTCAATATATCAATCCACAAACTGTCCTAGGCTCTGGAGATACAAATAGAAAAGCAAATAGCTCCCTGACCTCTTGCTACTTCCATTTAATGGTTCTAATTTCCAAGTATGTAATTTGTGAATGACATCATACTTGTAATATCAATGACACATGATTGTTGCAAAATTATTGAAATAAGATAATGTGCATGAAATGTATTTTTTAAGAAAGGAATATTTAGATGAAGGCTACCAATCCCAGGAGATAGAGTCTTCTCAAAACTGAGACCCTTTCTTCTAAAGATTCATAGGGTGTTAGATCTTGAAGGTGACAAAGAACAAAATATTGGAGTTGGAAGGTACCACCACTGCTAACACCAACACCAACACCATCATCTTCACTATCATCACCATCATCATCATCACCACTAACATTTATTTAGCTCTATATGCCAGGCACTGTGCTAATAAACACTTTATAATTATTATTAGCTGATCTTCACAAGAACCCTGGAAGGTAGGTGTTATTATGCCCATTTCATGAATAAGGAAACTGAGGGAAACAGGTTAAATGACAGCTAGTGTCTGAAGCTAGATTTGAGCTCAGGTCAGTTTTCCTAGCAGTCTAACCACTGTACCACCTAGCTGTATCCTTCATACCTTTGTTTATAGAATGTTAGCGCATAGAATTTTATAGCTGGAAAAAATCTTGTAAAGTAGAATATCAGCATTAGAAGGAAACCTGGAACATATAATGTTGGAACTCAGAATGTTAGAATCAGATTAGAATGGACCCTTCCAGCTCTAAAGCTATGATTCTCTAAACAGAGAATGGCTGAGTGGGAAGGGTTTTAAGACTAGAGAATGAAAAAGCTTAGAACATGAAATGTTTAGAACACAGAATGTTGGAAGGATTCTTAGAACAAAGCATGTCCAGAGTGGAAGGGGTAGAACCTTAGCACCAAAAATATTTAAAGCACAAAATGTTTGGAGGTAGGAGAGATCCTAGAAAGCAGAACATCAGAGCTAAAAGGAACCTTCAGACCAAGAATATTGGAGGTGGAAATATCCTCGAATATCATCTAGTTAGTAGGGGGAAAGTGAGTCTAAGAGAGTGACATGCCCAAAATCTTCCCCTCAATCCTCACCAATGGATGATGGAAAGAAAGAGCATCAAGGCTGGGTGTCCAGCCCTGCCCTGAGCTGCTCTGGCACCTCTTGTTGGTACTGGAACCCTTGCTTCTCAGCTTACATACCTTGGTAATGGCCAGGATCTCCCCATCAGATTTGCTCCTAAGGCACTGAACCATGGAGGCAGAACTGTGTCTATCACAAGCAGATAGATTGGCAATGATTTGCAAAAAGGCACCCACAAATAGTTAATATTCTCATCAAGGAATGCCTGGCCTGCATCACAATAAAGGAATCCTTTCATACTCATCAGGAACATAGCAAGGGATCATTTCTGTAGGTGATGATGCAGTAATGGTGAAAAGGAGACCAAGTTGGAATCCGTCTGACCCCCAAACAGGGTGAGTCCCCCAATCGCCATCCTACTCTGTACAGAGCTCAGTGCACGCTAATGGGGATGTGGATGGGGATGGGGATGGGGATGGGGATGGGCAGGCACAGGTTATAAGGACATAGTCCCTGCTCCCAAAGGGTTTACCATTAACTCAGGAAGAAAAGACTTTAATATCCATAAAGGACACACAAAGGGGTCTGGTAAGTTGAAAAAGCCCTGACATTGGCTCAGAGAGCTCAGTTCTGGTCCCAGCTCAGTCATCAACTCATGGTGTGACCTTGGATAAGTCACAGAATGACAGAACCAGAGATACAGAAGGTATGTCAGAGATCATTCCATCTAATCTGTACCTGGGTCCCCTTGAAGAATACTTCCTGCTGTTCTGGGGATATCAAAAAATAGAATTTGGAGCTAGAAGGGACTTTCAAAAACATCTGATCAAACCAACTTTTACAGAGGAAGAAACTGTAGCCCACAGAAGGGAAATATCTTACCTAAAATTACAGGCATTGATGATTGATTTGAAAGTCAGAGCCAGGAATTGAATCCAGGGCATTGAATTCCACTGTACAACTACTTTCTCTTTCTCTTTGCCTCAGTTTCCTCCTCTGTAAAATGAGGGGGCTGGACTAGATGATCTCTATGGTAACTTGTGACTTGAACATTCAATGGCATTCCAGTGCACCTTCTTATAGCCCAGGAGAGGCCAGAAGGCCAATGGGACATTGGGCCATGGGGTTCGGAGGCCAATAAACCTAAGGAAGGATAAGAGGTATTGCAGAGACCAAAGAATAAGGAACTTACAGTTGCAACCATTTCTGAGTTGGAAGTAATTAAGCCAGGGAGGATGGCCACACCGCTCTCCATGATTGCCCTGTGGAACAAGCCTTTGGACATGGGGGACAGAATCTAGGGGAGCAAAGCACAGCAGAGGAGAGGAGGAAGTATTCATGGGGAGGCCCAGACTCTCCTGGCTTAGCAGAGACAGAGGAGACTGGGAGTCTGAAGGCTAAGACTCTTATTTTTACCTTGCCACACCCATAAGCTACTCATATAAGACAGTCCCAAACAGTGGCCTTTCTATGGGACCCTGGCCTTGGGGCTCTTCCACACAGTCAGGTCTATAAGATAGTTAGACAGAAAAGAGGACTAAGTAGCCTTGGCCGTGGTCTAGGACTCTCTGGGTGGTTCAATAACAGGGTATGATAACATGCCTGTACTCTGTAACCCAGCAATGCTGTTCCTATGCCCTGCTTCCTTATAAGGTCACAATGTTTATTGATTGTTGTTTGTTTACTGATTATGAGAAAGCCTAGGGTTGTTGTGAGGATCAAATGACTTCATATCCAACACTTTTCCCCACTATATCATGGAAATTTGCCACTTTCCCATCAGCTATTTTTTTTTAGCATTATCCTTCCACTGAAGTCTCCTTCCCATGCCTTATCACATCCAGGAGGCTATGTCAGTGATGTGCAGACTCCTGGGGGAGGAGGTCTACCAAGGCAGAAGATCTTTGCCTCTAAGCCCCATGATGGATTTTATGTCTGTCATATGAGGGCCAGCTACACTTAGCTCTCAGAGGCTCATTGGCAAAGACTGGAAAGAGCAGATCTGCAGCCACAGCTGGTCACAAAAGCCACCTGGGAAGGTTCTGAGGGGCTCTGAGCAGCATCGGAATGAGGTGAACCTCAGTGGTGAAATGTGGATCCATTGGGCCTTGAATTATTTCATCATTACCCTGTACATTTCTTTTGCTCTTACATGAAGTTGTCAGTAAGCCTTTAAAAAGGGATAACTTATCTTCTCTCTCTAGTAAATCAAGAGGAAAAGGGGCCTAGACAATCAGTGGAAACTAGGGCAGGAGATTGTAGTGGGACCTCCAAATGAAAAGGCAAGGGCAGGTGCCAACCTTAGAGAAAGAAATCAGCAGTCCCAATGGTTCTGAGAGGGGGGAGGATAAGAGGAGAGGAAGACAAACTCAGGTCTGTGAGACTAGACCTTAGGTTTGGCTACAAGAAGCTCCATTTAGGCTGGGGTCATTTCTTTACCACCTACATGTGAAGAAACACTTGTCCCCCCTGCTGACTCACCAAAGACGGTCACACGGCCAGGATCTCCTCCAAAGTGGGCAATGTTCTTTTGGACCCACCTCAGGGCAGCCACCTGATCCAGGTAACCCCAGTTGCCAGGTGCGTGCTCATCCCCAGTGCTGAAAGCCAGATATTAGACAAGGTTGGAGACTTCAGAAGAAGAGCACCAGGTTAATAACATTATGAGATTTAAAGAGCATTTCCTCCAGCTGGATGATGAAGTGGATAGACTGCTGAACCTAGACCTGGCAAGACCAGTGTTCATCTACTAGCTGGGTGACCATGGGCTAGTCGCGTAGACCTCTGCCTCAGTTACCTTCTCTGTAAAATAAGAATAATAATGGCATATATCTCTCAGAGTTATTGCAAGGATAAAATGAGGCACAATTTATAAAGTGGTTTATAAATCTTAAAGGACCAAACAAAAGGTAGTTGTTGCTGTTCTGATTTTACACATGTAAACTGCTAAGACAGATCTTGAATTCCCCCACTCAAAGGACTCCTAGTGCATGCTTCTTTCCATGGCTCACTGTGCCTTCCAGGGGGAGCCTCTATCATGCTACTTCCTTCCTTTCCAGCTTACTCCCTGATCTCTTCCACCTCCCCCGCAACTGCCTTGCCCCCTCTCTCCCTTCCCCCTCCTTTTTTCCACTCTCCTTTCTGTTTTCTCTTCCCCTATTAGAATGTCAAGTCAAGAAACATCTACTGAGCACCTACTACGTGCCAGGCACTATACCAAGCTCTGGGCAAACAGAGAAAGGTAAACATAGTCCCTGCCCTCTAGGAGTTTGTGGTTTAATGGGGGAGACAGCACGCAAACAGCTGTGCCCAGACAGGATCTATACAGGATAGGTAGGGGATGATCCCAGAGGGAAGGCCCTGGCAGTAAGGGATGTAGGGAGAGGCTGCTTACAGAAGATGGGATTAGCACCAAGTCCTGAAGGAAGCCAGGAAGAGGAGGAGTGAAAATGAACAGATTCAATGGAATATCTTACATAAGCATCATGAAGGAGGCAGAGAATGTGAAGGAGCATGGGAAGAACAGAGAGGTAGGAAGACCAGGCTCCTCTCCATGAACTCTGCAGTCCAGCACTATTGTACTCCTAGTCCTCAAATACAACTCTCTACCTCCCAAGTCTGACTTTCCCTGGCTATCCCCACAACTGGAATTCCTTGAGGAAATTTGAGACAGCTCTAATCCCACCTTATTCAAGAGATCTAACCTTTCTTCCTCCCCCTCCCCCTCACTGCTAGGGCCTTCCAGAGCAAAATTTGAGGCTTTATAGAAAATTATGACTGGGGGAGCTAGAAGAAGCATGAGCTTTGTTACTATGCGGTGCATCAAGCAGGCAAAAATGAAAGCCACACACACACACACACACACAAGCACACATACATTATGTGACAACCTAAATTGACAGAGATTCAGGGCACTCACATGAGGGAGACTTGTAAAGTAGCAAGATCTTGGTAGGAGTACACACTCAGAGTGGGCTTTGAGAAAGTCAGTCTTATCTCTTGATAATCATTTAAGATCAGTTGAGCCCCAATAAGGGTCAAAAAACCTGAATTAATCTTTTCTCTCTGAGTGAGCTAAAAATGCCCCTTCCTGGAGCTGACCAGCATTCCTGTTTGTGATAACTAAGGACAGGATACCTGGGATCAGACACTCTCTTGAATAGTGGGACTTTTCTTATCTTGGTATCCTGTAGACATATGTTAGGTAGGGGAAACACAGATATCCTGGATCTATAATTTCAACTGACACTTTGACATTCTCCTATTTTATTGTATTTACAACCTATTCAACTAAGAAACTTCCTTTCTCATGCTACATGTTAAAAACATATGGAGGCTATCTATCTATCTCTATCTATCTATCTATCTATCTATTGAGTAACACAGACATCCTGAGTCAGGATTTAAATGTCCTCCTAAAATTGCTTGATTCAGTCACTGTTAAAGCTCTGGCTCCATGTACATGTCACTAATTTAAGGGAATAAACAATTTGAATTTACTTATTACCTAGTTTGTTGCCTCTTTAACCCACTTTCAGGTCGACACACTTAAAGTGAGGTTTGGTTGGGACAATCAGCCCAACATGTGAAAGAGGGCACTCTTAGGCAGACGCCAGTGTGGTGGGGAAGTTTCCCAGGATCCCTTATTGATGGGTGACTCAGGGACCGTGAGAGTGGGTGCCAGAACACAGCCATGCGGTCAGCTGGGAGTCCATTCAAGAGCTGAGGTCAGTCACAGGATCAGAATAAATCAGGGCTTGTGAAAGTACTGACTGTCTGCTATTGCTTAAATGGTTTACGGTCCTTAGGACTACTTACCCTGTGATTCCAGGTCAGAGTCCTATCACTTATAACAATAACATGACATAATATATTTCAAAATCACGATTGTTACATCTTCCCTCTGAAATCACTTCTCCTTTACCTTGTATATATTTTGTATCTATATGGCTATTTAGATGTTGTCTCCCATTAGAACTGAACTCTCTGAGGGTGGGAATTGACTTGCCTTTGTATCCCAAGCAATTAACACAGTGATTGGCATATAATAAGCACTTTAAAAATGCTAGTTAACTGATTCATTGACTGAATAAGGGGATGATAGTCTGACCTGTGCTGTAGGAAAGTCACTGACAACTGAGTGGAGAATGAATTGGAGCAGGGAGAGAAGAGGCAAAGAGGCCAACCAAGCAGGTATTATTAGTCCAAGTGTGAGGTAGTGAGAGTATGCACTAGAGTGGTTTCAGAGGAGAGAAGTACGTGTATATGAGAGATGTCACAAGGGTAGAGTCGATAAGACTTGGCAACAGATTGGATATAGGGGAAAAGAGAGTGTGTAGTGGATGATGACACCTAGATCACAAGCAACCAGGCAACATGGACCCAGGCAACATGGTTTAATGATTTTCTCTAGCTTCATTCAGCAGTATACAAAGAAGAGAAAAAGGAGTAGTTGATGGGAGTAATCCAAGGCTGAGGACTGGTATGGAAAATTTGTCATAAGATAAGGGGTCAGTGTAGAGGTGAAGTGGTTCACTAAGGGGTTAAGATGGAGAAGGGAAGAGAGTACAACCAGGCAGGGGTGATGGCCTGGGAAAGAAATGAGGGGTGGGGGGATTGAAGGTCAAGGTGAGGATGAAGAACAGGGTTAGGACTTACAAAGCAGAGAATCTAGTGGAAGGATAAGAGATTATAACAAGATAGAAGAATTTCAGAGTTAATGAATATAGAAGTGGGACACTCATGAGTCAGGGTAAAATCAAGGTGATACCATCTCTGTATCTAGCTAAGGTGGGGTGGAGGAGTAGGTTGTGAGAAATGAATACACTGAGGAACTGGGCAGGAAAAATGGTGAAGGGAATATCACAATGAACGTTGAAGTCCTTCAGTATGAAGGTGGGAGCTGGGAAAGAGAGAAAGACTGGAAACAAGGCACTGAACTTCTTGAGAAAGGAAGGAGGGTGCCCATGAGGATGGTAAATAACAGCTACTAGAATCCTGATTGGGAGATGAATATGGATTGAAAGAGCCTCAAAGGAGGAGAAGTTAGTGAGTGATAGTTGTAGAGGGAAAGTCTGGAAGTGGTAGTGGGAAACAAGAAGTATTTTGGCATCCCTGTGATGGAAGTAGGAGTGGAATTGCACATAGAACTAAATATGGTCACCAGGAAAGCTGTATCGTCAGAAAAAAAGTCAGGGTTTGGTGAGGAAAAGTAGATAGAAGGGGTAAGAAAGGAAAGGGTTAAAGATGGAAACAAGTTTGTTACTTATGGAGCAGGCACTCCAAAGAGCACAAGGAAAGTGGTAGGTAGCTTTAGAGTATGACACTACAGAAAATTGGTACTTGGAAAGCTAAAGGAATCATGAGCTTTATTACTAAGCAGTACAGCAAGCTGGGGTTAGGTTAACACAATAGGACCAACTTGTTTTCTTGTTTTGTATCCCCAGCACCTAGTACAGTGCCTGGTTCTTAACAAATGGTTTATCTACCTGCCTATCTGTATGCTAGTCCATCCATCCATCCATCCATCCATCCATCCATCCATCCATTCATCCATTCATCTCTCTCTCTCTCTCTCTCTCTAGAATTTGAGGGCAAGGGAGAAGTGAATTTATTGGTCATAAGAAACAGGGCCACAATTTAAAATTGGCCCTCACGCCACGAATCTAGTGCCTTTTCTACTATGTCATGATTAGTTTGTGGAGAAAGCAAGGAAAGGCAAGAGATATGTTGTTTAATCAGGAAATTCTGTTTATCATCCTTCAACCACTCAGAGACTTGGGTACTCATCAGGGAAAAAATACTTGCACTCACATTTTATTGGGGTCAAATCTCACCCGAAGAACCCAAGGATGCCCAGCCTATACTGGATGTTGACCACTACCACATTCTGGGAGGCAGATAATATCGAGCTGTCGTACATGGAAGCGCTACCAAGAATAAAACCACCAGCATGGATCCACACCATCACCTGCAGGAATCAGACATGGTTTTCCTTATAGGAACAAATCCCAACGAGCGTGGCTGTGCTGCTCTCTTGCTCAACAGGCAAACACTATATCCTGTTATCTTGTGACCCATGATAAAGTAGCTCTAAATGTGAGTGAATTCACTTATTAAGATATTGTATATCAAAAGCGGATAGAGTGTGCATAAGAGCTATTCTCAAGTAAGAGCCCACTTGACTTGACTGAGAGGCAGTTAAGATCCTCCTTGGAATATTCCTGGCAGAATCAGCTCCCTGAGGTTCTCCCACTGATAAAATACACACAGAGCAAAACAGCCTCTTCTCAAGGATCATTGTTCCCCCTGGAACAGGGAAAGGAGGCAGGACTCCCTTCCATGGGACACAGACCCACCAGACAATAGAGAATGCACCATAGACAATAAGCTCTTTGTGTCACATCATCTTGTGGGTGTTTCAGCTGTGGCCCGGAGAACCTTTCCATGTAACAGTAGCTACTCTCTCAAAGCCTAGATAAGCTGCTAGAATAGATTACCAGAAATAGGCTAGGCCTTCTATTGATTCTTTTAAAAAGTATTTTATTTTTTAATTTATGGAATAAAATAAGCATTTCTATAACATAGTATAATAAAGATGATTGCACATGAAACTGCAAATCTACTGCTTACAGCCAAGTTTGTGACCCAGTATGGGGTTTTCTTAGCAAAGATACTGGGGTGGTTTGCCATTTCCTACTCCAGTGGATTAAGGGAAATAGAGGTTAAGTGATTTGCCCAGGATGACATGGATAGTGAGTGCTTGAGGCCAAATCTGAACTCAGGTCTTCCTGACTCTAGGTCCAGTGCTCTATCCAATTCTAAGTGTTAAATGGTGGGCAAAGAACAGATCTCATAATCTCTATATCTAAAATTACAAGAGAAAGGCCTGCTGTTACTGTTCAGATAACACCATGGTGTTTTCATTGTATGATTCCTTTTGTCAGTGCATTGGGATGCTGCATGCCTAGGAGGGGCAGAGAGCTGAAGGGGTTTTTACTCACATGGGGAGATTCTTTCCCTTCTATGGAATGTAGCAAGGTATTGGCTGGAATTCTGTGGGGGACATGTTTGGGCATCAGGAAGGAGACAGATTGCTGCTATATGAGCAAATGAAATGGACCAAATCCTGGGCACTGAGAAAGCCAGAGCATGGACTGGCTATGGGGAGGGCACACTTTGCTGTGAGTAACTGAGTGCATGGAGACAACAGGGAGCCCTTCAGACAAGTGGACTTGCCTTGGACCCTCTTCGCTTGGGTGATCATCTTAGTGTCTATGACTGTGTACCCAGGAATTCTGTCTCAGGCAGGATCATTGGATCAAAGGTTTTAGGGCTGAAAGGGATTATAGAGATGGCCTAGTGCAACACCCCTATTTGACAGATGAGGAAACTGAGACCCAGAGAACTTAAGTGACTTGCAGAAGGTCGTACAGCTAGTAAATAACAGAGCTGAGCTTTGACCTCAGGACTTCTTACTCTAAATCCAATGTACTCCTCGCCATACTCTGTAGTTTGGTTGCTACTACACACATCTTCCTTCCTACCCTCCACACAAAACATAAACCATTAGGGTCTGCTGAATTTTGCTTCAGCAAGCTCAGTTTCTCTTGTACAAAAGTCCTCTGCCTCATGGAACCAGGCAACCTCACATCTACTCTAGCTCATTCCTTCCTTCCAGGTGCCCCTAAGTCTCCTGGAAGCAATGGAAATTCATTCCTTGTTTCCCTTTGCAGGGCCAGCATGGGTGGCATTTCCTCCAGTTTTCTTATCCCCCAAGCCCTGGAGTATTCCAGATTCCAAACTCCTTTTATGAAAACAACTCTGATAATCCTATCTATATTTAGGAACTTGCTCTGGCTTTGTGATATATTCATTCGTTCAATACATTTACTGAGGAGCTACTATGTGCAAGGCTCTGTGATGGGTTTTTTTGAATAAGACTAGGTCCCTGCCCTCAAAGTCCTTTCATTCAAACAGAATGCAAGGATAGGATATGGATCAAAAAATGATAATAAAGACTGATATAGTCTGTATTGGGCAGCAGGTGGCTTAGAGGAGACAGTTCTGGGCTTGGAGTCAGGTAGACTCATCTTTCTGAATTCAAATCCAGCCTCAGACACTTACTACCTGGGTGACCCTAGGCAAGTCATTTCACCTTTTTGTCCTCAGTTTCATCATCTGTAAAATAAGCTGGAGAAGGAAGTGGCAAACCACTACAATATCTTTGCTAAGAAAATTCCAAATGGGGTCATGAAGCATAGGACACAACTGAAAAATGACTGAACAACATAGTCTGTATTAAGTGCCATAAGGTATATGATAGGTCCCCAGGGAGATCCAAAATAATAGGCAGAGTGAAGTGACTTGTCCAGGGTCACACAGCTAGTAAGTTTCTGAGGCCATATTTTAACTCAGGAAAATGAGTCCTTCTGACTCCAGGCTTGGCACTCTATCCAGTGTGCCACCGAGATGCCTTGAAGGTATAAGGATGCAGATTTTAGCATTATGGAAGCAAATATTCACTAATAATGTGAGTTTTTGCCCAAAAGTAGAGTGGATTGCCTTGAGAAGTAGTGAGCTCCCTGACCAGGTGAGCTGTCAGAGGTATTTAGAGAGGATGACCGTTCCCATGCTGGTGGGACGAGGTGACCTCCAAGATGTCACCCAGTTCTGATGCCCTGAAATTCTTATCCCTTGTGGAAGATACAAAGATCTGGCTTACCGGCAATCCAGCCCTCTCCTTTGCATGGACAGGAACATAGATATTGAGGTACAAACAGTCTTCAGAATTGGCAGTAATAGAGATGTTTACTTTTGCAACCCTTGTCATTTCTAGTAGGGCAGTGACATCCTGCAAACACCTAGAAAATACAAGAGATGATTGATCTGAATAGAATCACATGGGGATAACAATAATAATAATAATAATAATAATAATAATAATAACGATAACTGAGTGTTTTGAGGTTTACAAAGCACTTTACAAACATGATCTCATTTGACCATCACAATAACCTTGAGAGGTAAGTGCTATTATTATCCCTATTTTACAGATGAGGAAAGTGAGGCAGGCAGAGGTGCAGTGATTTGCCAACATTTCACATCTTCTTATACAATCCTTTTCTTATTCATTGTTTACTGAAAATGTTTGAGTTTGTTGGTGATTGTTAAGATGTAACCAAAGTATTTTTTAAATTGAAATAAGAAAACATGGAAACCAAATAGATATTACCAAGAGGCAAATAGTTGAACACATCACTGTGTATGAATGCCATGGAATGTGATAGCACTGTAAGACAGGATGAATGTGAGGAACTCGGAGAACCTGGTGCAGATCAATGAAGGTCGAGCTAGACCAATACAGACCATGACAAGAGGTATTTTAACAAGAACATCACTGCTGGACACTGTGACAGTTGGATTTTCTTTGTTACAGAGGAGCATTAGGTTGGAGGGGTAGGAGGGAGGCTGGGGTAGGGAATGGGCAATAAGTATGGTCTCCAAAGTAAAAGGCATCAAAGTGCTTTTAAAAAAAAAAACAAAATGAGGAGTCAGATTTAATAACCTCCAGGTTTCTGAGCCTATCAGTCTATGAGTTCTGGCTTTATTATTTTCTAGTGTTATGACCTTGGGTGAGTCACATAATCTTGGTTGTTGTTCAGTCAGGTCTGACCCATCATGACCCGGTATGAGGTTTCTTGGCAGAGACACTACAATTGTTTGCCATTTCTTTGTTCTGCTCATTTTACAGATGAGGAAACTGAGGGTAAATAGGGTCAAGTGACTTGCCCAGGGTCACACAGCTAGTAAGTATCTGAGGTCAAATTTGAACTCAGGTCTTTCTGACTCCAGGCCCAGTATTCTATCCTCTGAGTCACCTATCTGCATCTAATCTCTGTTAGCCTTTATTTTCCCATCTGCAGCAATATGTGTATTAATTACCTCACAGTATTTTTCTGAAATCTGTTATTCTCTAAAGTCCAAATAAATGCAAACTATTATCATTAAACAATTATTTGAGGCCTCACAGCCCAGGGAACATTCATTCTTTCAACAAATACTTAACAAATGTCTACTGTGTGCAGAGCACAGAGAGACAAAATGTGGGTAAGATATGATGAAGCCCTCTGCTCATCTGGTGAGAAAAGGAGAGAGAAAGGTACTTACATAGATGGATGAGAAGTTGCATCTCTCACATTGCTCCAGGAATCTGGTGGTTGTGGAGGAGAAAATCTCAGGGCACCCACAGGGGGTTTGGCAAAGGGGATTCCCAGGAAAACATTGACAGCTTTGTCAATCTCCTTGACACTGATTTGAGTCCCTTGGATCTGTCCAGACTCAGTGGTCCTGATGAGGTCATCTGCATGATGCCCTGTGAACAAAAGGGAGAGAAATTCTCAGAGATGGAGGGCTGAAATGATATCCAAATGTGCCCTCTATATCTCCCACCATGACCATTTTTTTCATTAAATGGGAATGCAAGCCTCCTCCTATGTCTGCCATGATTCTTTCTGTTTCCCTTAAAGATCTCCAGTGATGTGGAACTTGCTCCAGTGGCGGGCCATTTGCAGTTTTAGACAGCTCTGCCACTGACTCAGGAGCTGTCCAGCTTTGAGGAACCTGAGGCTCAAGATCAAAGCCACTGCTCCCCAACAACTCCATCTCCAGCCCAGCTTAAGGAAACACAGAGGTAAAAATCAGTGCCATATAGTTTACCAGTATGACCCAACTGAGCAAAGACTTAATGAGCACCTACTATGGGCAATGCCCTCAGCTCTGAATTGAGGATAAAATGGCAGGAATTTCTGTTCTCCTAGAGAACAGAACCTGTGCACCAATAACTAGGAATACAAGGGAGAGGTATAAGGGAGAGTTTCTGTCAAAGAGCTAGGAAAAGATATGAGGAGGGTCAGGAAAAGCTCTGCTACAAGTGGCAGTGCCATGCTGGGTCTTTAATGAAGAGTCTTCAACAGAACTAGACTGGGTAAGTGCTTTCTGGGCATGGGAAAGACATAGACAAAGAAGGGAGACAGAGGAGGGCAAGAGAAGAAAGGCAGATGGAAAGTAGTTACGATGTGCTACAGTATGTGTCAGGAAAACTGGTCTGCCTGAGTTCCAATCCAGCCTCAGTCACTTACTAGCTGTGTGACCCTGGGGAAGTCTCTTCACCTGTTTGTCTTCTGTTTACTCATCTGTCAAATGAGCTAGAGAAGGAAATGGTAAACCAGCTCCAGTATCTTTGCCAAGAAAACCCCAAATGGGATCACCAAGAGCCAGACATGATTGAAAAATGACTGAGCAACAACACAACAAATGTGAATAAAGTAGTAGGTGATAAGGTTGGATGCACAGAGGACTGCATTTGGGCTCAGAGGATAAGGGTTCAATCATAGCTCTTGTTTTTACTGCCTGTGTGACTTGTTACAATTCCTTTCCCTTCCCTAAGCCTGTTTCCTCTCTTTGATTAAATGGGAAAAGGGCATTGAATTCAATGGTCCTTAAGAGTCCTCCCAGCTCCCCATCCTAGAGTCCAAGAGCTAGAGACTGCACAACTGTAAGAGCACATGGCCATCCTCTGCCTTTATCAGAAGAACAAGGGTCAGGCATGCCTCTGAAAGATAAGCATTCACCCCCACCTTTTGAAAAATATTTTTAAACATTTGTTTTTGACTTTGAGTTCCAAATTCTCTCCCTTTCTCCCTCTCCAACCCCATCTCATTGAAAAGGTAAGCAATTCCATATAGGTTATATATGTATAGTCATGCAAAACATATCCATTATAGACATGTTGTGAAAGACAACATAGACAAAAACCTAAGAAAAATAAAGAAAGTGAAAAAAGTTGTTTCAATCTCTGTCCAGACATCAACAGTTCTTTCTCTGGGGATGAATAGCATTTTTCATCCTAAGTCCTTCAGATTTGTCATGGATTATTATTATGCTGAGAATAGCTAAGTCATTCATAGCTGATCATCTTACAATATTGCTGTTACTCTGTACCCAGTACATTTCACTGTGTATCAACCCTTGTAAATCTTTCTAGGTTTTTCTGAGAGCATCCTTCACATCATTGCTCATAGTACAATAGTATTCCATCATAATTATATACCACAACTTATTCAGCCATTCCCCAATTGATGTGCATTCCCTCAATATCCAATTCTTTACCCCCAGAAAACATCTGCTAAAACTATTTTTGTACATATATGTCATTTTCCTTCTTTTTATCTCTTTTGGGATATAGACCTATTAAGCACTCCCCTTTTGTCAAAGGAGATCACGGTGTAGCCTGATATAAAATGCATGAGAGTCACTTTAACATACATCAGGTGGCCTTCAGTTTTTTCCTCTGAATAATTCAAATAACAGTGGCTTGGGAGGATGAAAATAAAGAAATAAATCAAAGCCTCCAGTTTCTGGGATAAGAACTCACTATTTGACAAAAACTGCTGGAAAAACTGAAAAACAGTATGGCAGAAACTAGGCATAGACCAACATCTCACACCATATACCAAGATAAAGTCAAAATGGGTACATGGTTTAGTCATAAAGGCTGAGCAAATTAGCAGAGCAAGGAATAGTTTACCTGTCAGATCTATGGAGAAGGGAAACAATGTATGACCAAACAAGAGATAGAGAACATTATGAAATGCATAATGGATCATTTGGATTATGTTAAATTAAAAAGGTTTTGCACAAACAAAAGCAAAACAAGATTAGAGGAAAAGCAAAAAGATAGGAAACAATTTTTACAACAAGTGTTTCTGATAAAAGCCTCATTTCTCAAATATGTATAGAGAATTGAGTCAAATATACATGAATACAAGCCATTCTCCAACTGATAAATTGTCAAAGGATTTGAACAGGTTGTTTTCAGATAAAGAAATTAAAGCCATCTGTAGTTACATAAAAAAAGTTCTAAATCACTATTGATTAGAGAAACACAAATGAAAACAACTCTGAAGTACCACCTCACACCTATCAGATTGGCTAATAAGATAGAAAAGGAAAATGATAAATGTTGGAGAACATGTGCGAAAATTGGGAGACTATTGCATAGTTGGTGGAATTGTGAACTGATCCAACCATTCTGGAAAGCAATTTGAAACTCTGCCCAAAGGGCAATCAAACTGTTCATAACCTGTAATCCAGCAATACCACTATTAGGTCTGTATCGCAAAGAGATCATAAAAAATGGAAAAAGACCCACATGTACAAAAGTGTTTATAGGAGTTCTTTTTGTGGTGGCAAAGAATTGGAAATTGAGGAGATGCTCATCAATTGGGGATGACTGAACAAGTTGTGGTGTATGAATGTAATTAAATACTATTGTTCCGTAAGCAATGATGAGCAGACAGATTTCAGAAAAACATGGAAAGCCTTACATGAATTGAAGCTGAGTGAAGCTAGCAGAACCAGTAGAACATTGTACACAGTAACAGCAACATTGTGCAATGATTAACCATGGTTGACTTAGCTCTCCTCTTCAATTCAATGATCTAAGACATTCCAAAAGCCTCATGCTGGCAAATGCTATCCACATCCAGAGAAAGAACTATGGAGTCTGAATGAAGATCAAAGCATACTGTTTTCACTTTTTTTTGGTGGTTTTTCTCTTTTGCTGTTTCTGCTTTCACAACATGACTAATGTAGAAATGTTTACATGATTGCACATATATAACCTATATCAGATTGCTTGACATCTTGAGAAGAAATGGAATTAAGAAGGGGAGGAGTAAAAATTTGAAACTCAAAATCTTATAAAAAATGAATGTTGAAAACTATCTTTACATATAATTGGAAAAAAAAGTACTATTTACAGAGAGAGAGAGATAGAGAGAGAAATATGCTGTACCACATTTTCTCATGCAAACACAGAGCTCCTATTTCCAGTCTGTAAAAAGATCTTCCCCCAATCCTCACTCTTATCCGTCTTCTTGAAAATGAGTCAGTATTTCCTCTTTCCCTGCCCTCCACTGGTGGCTGACAGAAGAGTTTTTGGACATAACACACATGGAGAGGAAATCAATTTCTCAGCAGTAAACTGAGTTTGGCCTCCTGAAATCAAACTAGCAATAATCCTTCACCCCCAGCCCACCCACCCAAGCAGTCAGTCAGGGCAACAAGAGACAGAACAATGCACAAGCCCCATATCTCCAATGGGAAAATCAAAGGACTCCTCCCATGTCCCTCCATAATCATCCCCTGCTCTGGGTCAGCCTGGCAGAGCTGCTCAGCTGGGGCTTGAATCAGGAGGCCCAGGGTCTGCAAAGTCAGGACCTTGGGCAGCAGGGAAGTCTTCCACATCTTTCCCTCTGCACAGCCTTCTGGTCATGCCTAATCAGATCCCTGGCCTGGCCTTTGATAGAAAAAGAATGGGATCAAAGGGCACTCCAGGGAAAGCGGGGCTAAGGGTTACTTAAAGGACTTCTTCCTCAGACGTAGTTTTAGGCTGTATTTGAAAAAAAAATTAGATTGAATTTGTAAAGGCTAAAGACAGATCTGAAAATCCATCCATCTAGCAGGGAAATGCTGGCAAATGCGTAATGACAAGCTCCCTGGGAAACAAAAACGAACAAATGTATCCATGACACACTCTTAAATTTAATCTGTATTAGAAACATTTTTTTTCCCAACGCTTTCTTAACTCTAGACAATCAACAGAACGGTAAATCAAGCCCTGAATTGTAGCATTTTCTGATTTCAGAGGGGCAAAGAGCCAGAGTGAGCTGCCCCCACCACTTCACTGGAAGTGTCAAGGGTCAAAATTTGAATTACACAACCTCACCACCCTCCCTCCCAGTTTCTGGAGACTTCTATGACCTTTCCCCATTTGAACATTGTTAGTCGGTTTTCAGTTGTGTCTGACCATACGTAATTCCATTTGGGCTTTTTTTTTTGGCAAAGATACTGGAGTGGTTTTCCATTTCCTTAAATGAGGAAATTCAGGCCAAGTCGGTTAAGTGACTGGCCCAGGGTCACACAGCCAGGAAGTGTCTGAGGCCAGATTTGAATTCTGGAAGAGTCTTCCTGACTGCAGGCCTGGCACTCTATCCTCTGTGCCACCTAGCTGCCCCCTTGAACTTGTAAGAGTCCTGTATTCTTGATCTCACAGAAGCCTGAATTGCCTGAGAATAGACTGTGTCCCAAGTACTATATGAGGTACTCTAAGCAACTTACTCCATATCATGCCTCTGATCTGCCTAAGAAGAGTATTATTATTTTTATTATTATTACTGTAAAAAATAATTATGATGATATTGGCTAACATTTATATAGAACTTTAAGATTTACAAAGTGCTTTGTATACATTATCTAATTAGACCCTCACAATTATTATCCCCATTTTCCAGTTGAGAAAACTGAGGCAGGCAGAGGTTAAATGACTTGCTTAAGGTCACATAGCTAGATAATTCTCTGAGGCAGGATTGGAATGCAGCTCCTCCTGTCTCTAAGTCCAATACTTTGGCTGTTCCTCTCTGCCGCTTCCAGGGAGTCCCTCTGCTGCCAGCACTGAGCTGCCTTTCCTTTAAAGTTCACTCTCTCCAGGGAGATCACCCCATCCAGATGCCTGTGGTGGCTGTCTGCTCTATCTCCTGGCACCTCCATCACTCTTCCTCTTTTCTCAAGCAGATCAATACCTGGCTCACAGACTTCCTCTCTCTCCCAACCCCTGACACTGGAAGACTTGAACACACATGCTGCTGTTCGAGCCTCCCGGCTAATCAAACTTTCCATCTATTACAGTCTACACCTTCACTTTACCTCTGCCACACAGGTCATATCCATGATTGCAGCTAGATTATACAGTGGATAGAAGACTAGGCCTGGAGTCAAGAAGACCTGAGTTCAAATCTGGCCTCAGACACCTGCAAGCTGTGTGATCCTGGGCAAGTCGCTTAAGCTTTGTCTGCCTTAGTTTTCTCATCTGTAAAATGAGGATAATATTAGTGCCTACCTTCCAGGGTTCTTGTGAAGAACATATGAGATGCACATTGCAAACCCTAAAGCACTCCATAAATGCTAGCTGTTATTACTGATCTCAGCATCACCCATGTTCAACCTTCATGACCTAGAACTCACCTTTCTAGAACATAATCTCTTACCTTCCCATCACCCCCTCCCCTGACTCCACCTCACTTCTCTTAAAACTCTTACTCTGGTGACTTCCATTCATGCCACATCACCCTGTTTTCCTAGTTCATCACCTCGGTCAGGCTTCCTTTTCCTCCCTTCCCAATCTTGATCCTGTTGACGACAGGTATGACTTTAACTGTCCTCTGCCTGTGAATCCTTTCTTTTCTCATCTGAGGGACTTCCTGCCATTGTATGGGAACCAATGGTCAGTCCATTGGTTAGCTCTGGTATACACACATACATACCTGCAAATATATACACATATACATACATATATGTGTATATGTGAATCTATATATGTTTATTAATATTATTTATTATATATATAAATTATAAATTTATTAATATTTTCTGCACTTAACTTTTAAATCAATTTTTAAATATTTCTTTAAAGGTTTAAACTTCAAATTCCATCAATCCTTCTCTCCCTGAAATGGTAAGCAATCCAATATCGCTTATATATGTGCAATCATGTAAAACATTTCTATATCAGTCATTTACCCATGATTTGTGCAGCATGATCAGCCCACCTCCATTTTCCATACATATGTTTCTTTAGTTTGAAGAAAAAAATTTATATTTGAATCTCCATGTTAAGCAGAAGTCTGACAGAAATAATTTTATTTTATTTAATATTTATCTAAGAATCAAGACTTTTTTGGGAGAGAGATAGCAAGAGAGAAGAAGAAGGGAAGAAAAAGAAGGAGAAGAAACAGAAGCAGAAGGAGAAGAAGGAGAAGGAGAAGGAGGAGAAGAAGAAGGAGGAGGAGAAGAAGAAGAGGGAAAAGGAGAAGAAGAAGAAGGAGAAGGAGAAGGAGGAGAAGAGGAGGAGGAGGAGCAGGAGGAGAAAAGAGAAGAGAAGAGAAAAAGAAGGGGGGAACAGGGCATTAGAGAGAGGTAGAGATGGAGAGAGAGGAAAGGAGAGAGAGAGAAAGAGAAAGGAGAAACACAGAGACATGGAGACGAGAGGAGAGAGAGACAGACAGAGACACACACAGAGACATACACCAAGATACAGAGACAGGAGAGAGAGAGAGATGTCCAAACTAACATAGTTCTTCCATATCCTCTAACAGATCTCTCTAATCCAAAATGACTTGAGGTAGCATTGGTAGGAGTCTTGAACAATGAAAAGATCGTAAGATGTGAAAATACAGTTTGAAGTTAACATTTAAAAGCAATAAGTTCTCCTGGGGTAAACGAAGAGACCTCCTCTCTTTGGCTCCATATCCTAATCATTTTTTACTGGAGAAACATGAATCCTAGTCCCCATCACTTCTTGGCATAGACAAAGAGGAGACTGCTCCATCTAATAATAAAAATAGGAGGTGGTAATCATACAGCACTTTAAGGTTTACAAAGCAATTTCTAGATACTGTCTTATTTGATCCTCACAACAGCCCTGGGAGGTAGGTACCAGTATCATCCCCATGTTACAGATGACAAAACTGAGGCACCCAGAGATGCTAAGAGGCACCCACACAGTGCTAAGCTCTGGGAATACAAATACCAGCACAAAGACTGCCCATGCCCTCTGGGAGCTTACTTTCTGATGGAGGTAATACAACACATAAAAGATGGTGGGAGGAGGAGGGGGGAAGAGAGGAAGGCACCATTCAGAAAGTGCCAGGACAGTAAGGAGTGTAGTATGGAGAGAAAAGAAGACATGGTTGGCTAGGGCCTGCTCCTTAAAATGGAGGTTTGAAGGACCCCCATAAGGCAGAACCCAACACCTCACCAGGCTGCCCATTCTAATTTTGAACAGTTCTAATCCTTAGCATGTCTTTCCTGTCATCAAGCCTAATTTTGTTCCTTTGCAACATTCCCCACCCCAGTCTTGCTGGTCCTGCCCTTCGGGAACCAAACAGACCAAGTCTAATCCCTCCTTCTCATTATGGTCTTTCAAGTGTTAAGCCCAAGGCTGCTTCTACCCTCATCAAACCAAGGGGATCCAAATTCTTAATGGGTATAAGGCAAGATCTCCATGGACATCATTCTGCACTAGCCTCTGCATGACCACATCTCAGGGATGCTGTAGAGCAGACCTGCACAACTTGGCAGTAGGTAGGGGCCAAAATTAAAATCGGCTGAAATTCTTTGGGCTGCAGATAGGTTTTTAACGGCTCACCTTCCAAATAAAGGTATGATGATAGTGGGTTGCCATGGGTGACTTGGCAAACAGGAGTGAGTGCACAGTGGCAACTTACCCTGCCAAGTAACATGACAGGCAAAACAGTGACTAGTGGAAGGCGGGTTAAGTGGTGCATGGACACATCACTGGTTACATCTTTACTGTCTTTACATCCTCTACATTTTTCACAGGTCACCCGAGATCTGTATGTTGTGCAGGCCTGTTGTAGAGGATGGTCCTTTTTCCTGTACCCAATAAATATCCAAGGCATCATCTGTGAGGTAGGTTCCTTGGTATATGGAGTTTGGCAATGGGTTCACAAGAACCAGTTTGAGCTGCCCCCACCACTTCACCTGAAGTGTCAAGGGTCAAAATTAGAATTACACAACATCACCACCCACCCTCCCGATTTCTGGAGACTTCTGTGACCTTTTCCCCCTTGAAGCTCTGAAGTTCCTTGGTTTTTCTTCTGGACTCCATTTGGGTTTCCTTAGTAAAGATACTGGAGTGGATTGCCATTTCCTTCTCCAGCTCATTTTACAAATGAAGAAACTGAAGGCAAGCGGGTTAAGTGACTTGCCCAAGGTCATACAGCTAGTAAATGTTTGAGGCAGAATTTGAATACACAGTGCTCTCTGAGTGAACCCAAACCCTCCTGCTGGATTTTGCTGACTGGAAATATGCTTCTGCCAAGGCCATGGTACGATAGATATTTCCCTTATTTTTTATGGCTCTCCCTTATTAGGGGCACTATCCTAACACTCCCTATTTTATGACATCCTATATTCACGGTTGGCAGGAAACCAGAAATCCTGGGGCCACACTATTTGTTTTATGAAACCATAATTTTGGCTAATGAGGACACAGGCATCCTGAGCCAAGAAGGTTAGAGGTAATTGCTCTGAAGATCTAAAGTCCCCTTTGCCTATCATTCCTTGAGCTCATTTTTTACAATGAAAGTACATTCATATCTCTATGTGCATGATTCGCCAGCTTTCAGAGAAATAAACATGCACATTAAGTCTAATTTTGTTTGTCT